TCCAGAAGAAACGTATGTTAAAATATATATATACCTTACTTAGATGTTGTTATGGAATCAGTTTTGTTTAAATAACTGTAATTCTCATAAATTTTCTTTTCTGTATCATTTGTTTTTGAGATGGTTTTAAAATGGTTTAGTGTTATAAAAGGTTTCAATTTATTTCCATAACTAATAGCAGCTAAATAAGAGATTGGTCACTGGTCATTTGAGCAGAAACACCTATCTATAATACTAGACTGGCCAAGAGACAAAGTATTATGTAATTTCAGGTATCCAGTGATTTGATGAAGCAAGGTTGAGTTAATTGTTAAGAGTTTTAATTGGTTTTCTCTGTTCTGTGTAATTGTCCGAAATTTTGCTTTATTACTGACATTGTTTACCTCTAGTTCCCCTGTGGAACATAGCAAAGTGTCCAAACCTCTCTTTTTCTGCATTGGAATTACAATACAAATTATTCTTTACTGCTTATATCTGGTGATCTGTTTTAACCGTGTCACCCAAATTTTTACCATGCTATTGATACAGGATTTTCGTCAGTTTTCGACAGAGAAATTCCAACTTCGGGGAGTCAGTTTGGTTAGTAATTTCCAAGGATGCGTCTTCACTGATTTATTTTTTTATTTAATGCATTTCTTCTGTTTCATTCAGGACAAACCACATACCATAATACTCACACAGTGAACAGTAGTAGTATAGAGTGTACTGAAACAATGACAACTGCTGTTAACTTTAATTTTAGTTTTATTCAACATATTGGGTTTCTCGTGAGTAGTAGTTATATATGTAAATGATAAATCTTTAGATAGTCCCTAAACTTTATCACACTTTACAGTTTCCTACTATGTATCTTTAGTTCAAATTGTACCAATATCTTTTTTAGCATATTTATTTACCTTGTCGCTTTACTTTCTATTTTTTTCATTATTGCTTTATAATATTTTATTTCTATTTTTTATTATTACTCCAAAATGATTCATATTATTTTAAGTTTACATGCTCCGTACTTTCTTTAGTGATTTTTTTGTTATCACTGAGTATTTTCTGTCGTCTTTTTATCATACTTATCCTCTTATTTACTTTTATTGTCACTATGTTGTGCCTTTTAGTCTTAGCTGCAATCGTCATATGTTTTCTTCAGTATTTTATTCTCAGTGTCGTGATATTTTTTCTAAAATTTGTATTTTAATTCCTTTCAAAACTTCAGTTATATTGTATTTCTAAATCATCTTCAGTAGTTTAAGTGTAACTGTTTTATGCCTTTTAGGTTTCGTTTGTTTTTTGTTAAGCACAAAGCTACACAATGAGCTATATGTGCTATGACCACCAAGGGTATCGAAAGCCGGTTTTTAGCGTTATAAACCTTCAGACTTACCGCTGAACCACTGGGGGTGGGAGACTGTCCTTTGGTAGTCAGTTAATTTCGTAACATCTATCTGCGTGTCATCTTACATAATTTTATTGTAGTTTGTCTCTTGTTTCCACATCTTCAGTTGTAATAATTTTTGATGTCTTTATAGGATTAAATTTTCTGGTTGTTCTTTCTTCGTCTTCCAATATGTTTCATGTTCCCTAAAATTTACATACTTTCAAGCAATTCCCTTGTTACGGTTAAATGTTATGGTCAAATTCCATAATATCTTCTTTAGTTTTCTTGCTGTCTCTCTCTCTCTCTAGGTGACATATCCAGCTTGAACGTTGGCAGTCGTGGTTCTTCATAGGCTCCTATCTTTGTTACGTTTCAAAATCTCATTCGTACTAACATCCATCCATTTGATTATGCTACTAATGTTCCCCCCCCCCCCCAGGTTTTGATACATTTGGTGGGCAGAGCACAGATAGCCCATTGTGTAGCTTGGTGCTTAACTTCAAACAAACAAGCATTCTTGCTGCCCCCACTGTCACAGCGGTATGTCTGCGGACATACAACGCTAGAAACTGGGTTTTGATACTCGTGGTGGGCAGAGCACAGACAACCCATTGCGTAGCTTTGTGTTTAACTAGAAACAAACATACAAGCTACTAATGTAGTGTAACATTGGCCTTCCTCGACGTTTGTAGCCTCTATTTTTTCTAGTAATTACCATACTTTCGAGTTTTTCCTTTCTCATTATGTGTCCTGGGAAACTCACTTGTCTTTCTCTGATGGCTATAATCAGCTTCCTTTGCGTCTCTGTTCTTCCTCATTGGTTATATGGAATATGAAGCATCCTTCTATAAAACCTCATTTCTGTGGCTTCAAGTCGCTTTTCCATGCTAGGCGAGATGGTACAACACTCATTATCATATGTAAGGATGGAATATACATAACATCGCAGTATTCTTTTCTTGTAGCCATGGTTTTGCTTTGATTTTTAAATATTTTCCCTAACTTTTGAAAAGCTGTTTTTGTCATACTTATACGTATTATATTTTCTGTATCACTTCTTCCATCTAGTTTTATTATTTGTATTTCTCCACCTGTTTGATAAGTTAATTTCCAATACAAAGTTCATATTTCTAAATATTAATTGAAAGTTCATTATAGTTGCTTGCTATTTTTATTTGGCAACTATTTGTTGTAAATTCTTTTGTAATCCACCAATCAACACCGCATCATCTCAAATTCTTTAGATTATAGACTCCTATTATGTAGCCGTTGTTGTTGCTTATTTCTCTGAGGTTGTTTTCCCTATAGAGATTAACTAGTTCTGGTGAGAAAACGCAGCCTTGTCTATATGTACTGAACTCACCATTTATTCTCATTGCAGCTGTTTGTTCTTAGTAGAAGTTTCTGACCACTCTTGTATCTTAACCATCTACATCTAAGTTTTGCGAAATTTCAAAGAGATTGGTGTGCTTGGAATTTTGCGAAAAGCTACACGAGGGCTATCTGCTCTAGCCTTCCCTAATATAGTAGTGAAATACAATAGGGAAGGCAACTAGTCATCGCCACCCACCGCCAACTCTTGGGCTACTCTTTTACAAAAGAATAGTGGGATTAACATTCACATTATACTGCCCCCACGGTTGAAAGGACGAGCATGTTTGGTGGGACGGAGATTCGAACCCGCGACCCTTAGATTGCGAGTCAATAAAACATAAATAAAAATATTTCTGTAATTTGATTGCTCGTTAGCATAGTATCCTTAATATAAATATTGCATTTTTTATTCTAGTGTTTTCTAGAAAAAAATATAAACTGCTCTTTGCTAATTTCAAGTCTTATTTTGCGTTTAGCTCTCGCCATTTAATAAAAAGAATTACTTTGATAATGTGACTCACCAAACTGATTATTCGGCGTAGCTCGCATTAAATGGCTGCCGGCTTCTTTGGTAATACATTGAATATTGACCTTCTGAGATCCAAAGGGATTTCTCCAGTATTATAGATTTCGTTTGCTCTTCTTGATAGTTTTTCAATACCAAATTCATCCAGAGCCTGTACCGTCTCGATGACAATGTCATCTGGTCCCTTTTAGGTTTGATGTTCCTATCCTGATGACACCCCTGTTGTCGACATTATCTTGATGAAGTTCCGAAGTCACCTATCGTATGTGGACACCCGTACAGAGCGAGGTGATTCTGCTTGAGGCCCCATGGACACCCGTACTGAGCGAGGTGACTCTGCTTAAAACCTCATGGACACCCGTACCGAGCGAGGTGACTCTGCT